ATTTTAAGAAAGGCCCCCATTAGAACCCATGAGAAATGCAAGAAATGCATTATTGCTCAGTCTGCAATATCTTTCCCAGAACAAACACCAATTGCAAATAACAAACTAAAAACAAACCTGAAAAATCTGTTTAGAACAGCTACTATGTTGCAAAGAGTGAACTACCACTGGCACAATTTAGCAGTCTTTGCAAACTTCAAAAAGCAAATGGCCTAGATCTTGTTTCCACTTTCCTCTTACCTGTGACTTCAGTGGAAATTTCAGATTCAGGATCTGACACAGACTGATTCATGTTCACAGTTCTTACACGTTCATAGAAATTTCTGTCCATCTAGAACCAAGTATTTGAGTTGATGATTGTAATTTTTATACAATGTTGTAATTTGTTTTTCAACAATTTTTTGATTAATGTTTTGTTTCCGTTACAATATTATACTTTAATGTATAATATTGTAACGTAAACAAAGCAGGAAACAAAACATCAATCAAAAAATTGCTCTTTTTTATTCGGGCTACTTAAATTTATTTTGGGCTACCAAAAACTGAAGAGTCTCTGGATTTCTCGGGATTTTGAAATTTTGCGAGCCCTGTATAAGCTCACAAAACATAAACACGTTGAAGGATATCCAAGTATATTTTTTAAAGACAGACGTAAATAAAATGCTCGACTATTCCACGGCTAAAGATAAGACCCGCCTCCACAGCTGGTGGGTTGTTAGGTCGATGACACACAACAACACTCCTGTCTGGGTAAGTTCAGCCTTACCGTTGCTGACACTGCTCTTTGCTGTCGCACTGATGAAAACTACCTCATATTGCCTCATATTTACTAAGGTGCAAACAGCGAGGACCCACCAGCTCTTGAGTCTCAGAGCGGAAGAAGGAGTTGACACCAATGATGAAGGGCGTGGGCGTGCTCAGGACCTCGAGGAGTTTTCCAGGTAGGATGGGAATGTAAGTGAAGCTGAGGAAACACAACAAGAGACTTTACACACCTGCTCTCAGCAGTGTCTACAGCGTGGCTTGATCAACAGTAGTGGGACATACCTGTACTTGAGAGGAAACATGATGGCCAGCAACGCCCGGCAGGCGTCCGTTAGTCTCTGGTAGCTGCTGGACAGGAAGAGGATTTTATGCTCCGTCAGGGCGGCGCAGAACAGACAGAGAACATTGGCTATACCTGAGGACAGAGCAGAGGACGCGTCATCTACCTCACCTGCTGCATGCACTCACAGAAATATTGGTGATTTTAAAGTTTCATCAGATTTGATAGAATCAACCTGCATTTATTCTTAAAACACTAAAAGTGTCAAACTGTAAGCAAACTATCCTCTGATTGGCTGGCTCTCAGAAACAGAAGGTCTGAGATGCATATGGAGATCTCCATGTTCAAAGAGGATAAAAAGGTCTAACATGGAGAGTTTATGTTTAACACTGACAGGAAATGAAACCACGGGTCTCCCCTGGCCTGTAGCAAACACGTTTTCTGTCACACACACAGTGTTGTTTATGCATCTCATATGAGGTGACATGTCTGATGAAGTAACAGCTGTCTGCAGACGCCGTGGACTCAGTGCTACAGTAACTCTGCAGATCTGTATAAGAAAGTAACTTTCATGTGTGCTCGTACCGAGCTGTCTGAAGAGCTGGGCCACACTGCTGCCGCTGACAGGAAGAGACTCGTTGATCGGAGTCTGGATGACTTGCCGGTCGCCAGCACCTAATGTTATAGTCCGCTAGAGATAAGAGAGGAGAGAACAGAAGGATTTGAAAGCAGGTGTGAAAACGGCAGATTAACGGTGGTGGTCAGAGAGTCGGGGTGTGGCGGCGTGGTTTGATCACAGCTGTGCACGTCCACAGAGCGAGTGATTCAGAGACAGAGATGGAGAATCCCAGAAGCTTAGCAGCTACGTGACAAATTAAACACAAGCCATTCCAGCTGAATGTGAATGGGGCCGGGCGGGACTCCAAGCCAACGACCAGCAGCACCGCCATGTCAAAGAGATCCCAGAAACACGGCAGGTGTCATGCGCGACTTTTCCACTAACGTGTGGAAAGCAGCTGAACTCATGAAGATCTCAACTGAACTCTGTTTAAACAGAGAAATCATGAATGATGCCAAATTCTCTAACAATTATTTCCTTTGTTACCGACCACAAAATTAACTTTGCAGAACTGAAGCTGTGCTGTAGGCCAGCACATATGTGCTGTAGGCCAATACATATGATCTGTGTTTGTTGGAATAACAAGCAGAGTGAAAACAGATGATTCAGTACTGTAGCACCACAGACACACACACTGATGACTGCAGCACAACAGAGCATCACAAAGGCTTCGTGGGCTCATTACAGATCCACGTCCACCTTTGGCTGATCGGTGCGGCCGTGGAGCACCAGCTGGGGGAAATGCAGCATTATCTCATGCTCAGCAGCAGCGATAGCGGCAGCCACAGATGAGCTGTTAGTAGATCAATACTGTGATCCAACATCTGATCATCGCGTCGGCTGTGGTCTGAAGACGTGTGAGGTCTGACAGTGAGGCTGCGCCCACACGTGCTTCTTAATGCACCGAGGACAGAATGCATTTGTGGCAGGAGGCAACTGGTTTCAGCAGGGCCTTAGAAACCCACTCCAAACTGGATGCCATGGTGTCACAGCTGAGCCAATCACAGCCCTCCTCAGAGCCACTGCTGTCCAACCAGTCAATGGTCTGGTCATTTTGGTTACATGGAAATAAAATGACGAGAAACTAATAAGCGAAATAATCAGTTGTTGGTCACATATTGAGCCCATATCAAAGCTTTTGATTGGTCCTTCTGTCACAGGAAGTGTGCATGGACTGCCTGAAGGAAACGGGTGGAGAAAAGGAAGCAGAGTCAATGGAAAGCTGATTGGTAGCGAGGGGAGAACAAAGTCAGGCTGGCGTACCAAACTCTCCTCTCTCTGCTCCTGGCCCGGCTACACAAGCACCCAGCAGAGACACACAAACAACACCAACAGGAAAAGACAGGTTAGCAACAACTGCAGCGAAGGCACAAAGTGCCCAAACGTAACATCATGACAGCATCAGCACAAAACAACAAAGAGGCACAAACAACACACTGAAGGATGACACACGTGTGTGCAAAGAAAGTATCACTGAGCAGGAGCAGCCACGGATCATTCACAACTTAAAACACACACAGTGACATAACAAGGTGTGTTCATTTGTGTTACAGCTAACAGTAACCATAGTAACGGGGGAGGGGGCCGCAGATTACATTAATTTTACTAAGGCTTAACTCACACACACGTGCACACACACACACACACACAGATACACACACACACAGCAGCAGGCCTGTCTGGCTCATCAGACTAGGAGTGAAACGACCTGGTACAGCTGGGCTTTCTGTCCGGGAACTTCAGAAACCGCAGCACTGAAATCACCTTCCAGCAGGATCCCGACACAACACAAAGCCAAAAGAAAAGAACAGTTCACGGACTGCGTGCACGCTAACAACAGACGCCGGCACCTTCGTGTGATCAGCCAAGACAACGTGCCAATGACCTCCAGCAGAACGACTTCCAGCAGGTCTGCTTTCAGCATCACACTTGGCAGCATGATGGACAGTGTCAACAGTAAAATTCCCTGTTTCTGGAATCATATGAAGCAATTCCAGAGGCAGATCTGTTCCTGTAATCTCTAATGAAAAACCGTCTGTTTGTTCCAGTAAAGTCAGAGTAAACACGGGGACGCCCAACGCTGCTGCACATGCACATGCAGTGGGAGGTGGGACTGAGCTGCTGGGACTCTCTAAGGCTATGTTCACACTGCAGGCGAAAGCGCATCAAATCTGACTTTTTTGACCCTATG